GATTTCTCAAATTCTTTGTATTTTTCATTATTTTCTCGTTCCGTGTCGAAATACCATCCTCAGAGTCGTTTAATGTGTAAACAGACGGATGTCTACAGACTGATTTATGAAGTTTAACATCGATATTTACAAGATATCCACATCTAAGGAATCTATGATCGTGACAATACTACTTAAAACAGTACCTTCAACGCCAGATCATAACAGTGACTTTTTATGCATCCGTAAACTATTTGTCTGAACTGCTTTATTCATTTTCAAAAAGTGTCTGTCATTTCCCCGTGTTCGAAAAAAAAAACAACAAAAAACAATGCAGTAGATTTATTTAATTAAGAGCGAAATTACCCCTTTAAAAAATGTTTCATATGATTTAGATGTTCCTTTTGATTTCTACAAGGAACAAATGAAGAAAAGGCGCAAATAACCAAAGATCGCATTAATACTTGTGATACTTTGATCGCTTTATGATATTTTCGAAAACAGCCAATCAAAATAGCAGTCATTTAACAGTCAATCAAACAAGATCAAATGACTTTTAACAGAATTTAAGTAAATAAATTTTATTGTTAAATATATCTGCACGGACAAGATAAATCTGCCTAATCACACGCTTATATGAATTTATCTTCTGTATGTCGGTCAAAAATATTGTATAGAGGCATATCTACACTGTAGCCTCTACCAGCCAACTGACTGGAGAAAACTACCCCACACACTACATTTCTACACTGTAACCTCTACCAGCCAACTGATTGGAGAAAACTACCCCACACACTACATATCAACACTGTAGCCTCTACCAGCCAACTGTTTAGAGAAAACTACACCACACACTACATATCTACACTGTAGCTTCTTCCAGCCAACTGTTTAGAGAAAACTACCCCACACACTACATTTCTACACTGTAGCCTCTACCAGCCAACTGTTTAGAGAAAACTACCCCACACACTACATATCTACACTGTAGCCTCTACCAGCCAACTTATTGAGGAAAACTACCCCACACACTACATATCTACACTGTAGCCTCTACCAGCCAACTTATTGAGGAAAACTACCTCACACACTACATACATGTATCTACACTTTAGCCTCTACCAGCCAACTTATTGAGGAAAACTACCTCACACACTTCATATCTACATTGTAGCCTCTACCAGCCAACTGATGTCGTGCTCCCTATGATAGTTATCTCCGATGTTTTCCATGATCGTATTTGCATTTGTATTTGATATTATATTTTAAGAGCGTGTAGATTTTATGAAAAAGCATGTCGCACAAAAAGCAAATGTTAATGATCAGAGGTATTCAAAGGGTTCATTTAAAAATTTGATCAATTAACAAAAATCCAAATTGAAGGGTTCATCAGTATTTTCTCTTGTTATATTGTAAAATTCCGTCACATATAATTTCCCCTTCATTTAAAATATTTAAGAAAGTAAAATTAGTATTACGATATTTATAGTAAAGGAATAAAAAACGGAAAAAATGGCAGATATTTATGACATTGTTTCTGAAAGAAAATCCGCAAAACACATGGAAATTTTCCATGGATGTAGATTTTATTTGTATTCTGCATGCAAGGTGCAAAGGTTTATTGCTTTAGACTCAGATGTGAGAAATAAAGTTTGCAATGCCCCCTTTCATAAACATGTAATAACAAGGCTCAAGAGATTTCCCGATAACGCGTGCATCGGAAGGATGTCAGAAAACTAAGATTCAGAGGTTGAAGGTTCGTGGCTTATTTTTTCAATTAACAAAATCGCAAGGTTAACCTCTGAATGCAACATCTCTCACTTCTGTTGAGAGGTAAATTTGATACATTTGACTAATAGCTAATGTGAAGTATATTGAATTTAGCTTTAATTAAATAAGATTTCGGATGTTGAACGCATATACAAGAAACGACCTACGTTATTACTGCATATACGAGATCTCTAAACCATATCAAACTTTTGTAGTGATACAGTCTCTGTTATCGATAGTTCCAGTCAGCATTAGTTTTTACCATGGCAGTGACAAAGATTCGATCGATTGAAAAATTAACAAGAAACGGCATTTACACATAGTCACACACTGTGGCTTTACGTGGTATTAAGTGCTAATGAGGGATCAAAGACTTGCATTTAAATATAGATGTCAATCAAGTCTTCATACTATATAATGTAAAATAAAGGATATTGTGCAAATTCACGAACACAACAATGTTAATTACAATGCCATTTAAATATTAAAGAGTCTTGGTACAGTAAATTATCTTTATGGCAAATCTTTTTATTAGACATTTAAAAGTTAACTTCATGAAATATGAAGATACTGAACATGCAGTCATGAAGTGTAAAGAATTAAACAATACAAATTGAGAGATCCTGGAAGCTTCAAAATGGGATCATGTACCATGGAGGAGTAAGCATCCCTTATCGATCCATCACACCCTCTGTAAGCCCTATGTCTTGATGGGATAAACAAAATAATCCGTAGAAAACCAGTATGAAGGAGATGACCTAAATATTTCTATGAAAGACACCAGACAACATTAAACTTAACAATCAAGAGGTTGTATTTGAACAAGATACACCTGCAATTTTTTGCCTTTTATCTAATTGAAATCTGTGAAGATAACGAAAAGTGTTCGATCTAAAAAAAAAAAAAATCTCTGAAAAGGAAATAAAACACGGAGCCTTCACATTTCAGAGGTGAGATCAGGTGTACAGGAGGAGCGGAGGAACTCTTTGTACATGTATTGATCAGGTGCACGGAATAATCTGTGGTCAAATTTAGGATACAAACAAAGGCCTAACAATAGATATGAAATATATCAGTCAAAATACGAAACAATGATAGGTTACATTTGCTAACAAGGTCATTATAATGACCGGAGGATCCACGAAATGCTGAATTTAAGCGATAATGCTGAAATCCCTGTAATATCAACCTGTTTGTAAGTAACCTGCCTAGGTTTAAAAATTGATTGTACTCAAAACATGCTACGAGTGTCGAATATGTAGGAAGACATAAATACCATATACAGGTGACAGTGCAATATAACTACATTGTGAGTTCAAATTTTCTAAATGTTCTTTGGAATTTTTGAGAATCCAATTTTGATTCACACCACTTCTTGAATATGCTGAAGCACAGTACGTCTGAAGTTTCTCCTTTAAAGTAGTTAATATTTTTGTGAGGAGTAAGGATAGGGGCTTTGCTGAACACTTACTTGACACTGCAATATATCTTTGTTCATAAGGATTTTTCTGAAGTTTAATTGATGTTTTTCTGTATTAAACATCTTTATTTAGTCATGCATTGCCTTAAGCATTAAGGAAAGAACACTTTTAAAGGGAATACTGAGGGAATTTCGGTATGGCTTTTGGTTTATATTTTCGGAACATTTCAGTAAGTCTTAATTTTGTCCGTATTAAATGTCTCAGATGGGCAAACTTGAGAGCCGTTAAAGCTTTAACTATGACCGAAAAGAAAGTTTATGTGAAATCTAATATAAGTGCTGTCCACATCACACTTTATGGAATCGCATGCTCGAGCTTGCAATCCAAAATCAACAAATAAAAAAAGAATAAAACATCTTTCCTCATGATATCATTATTTTCTAAAAATAACTTTTTTGAAAACGATATCCTACAGACTTACAATAGATCAGCAAATAAAAACACCAGTCCAGCCTTAGCTAGTAGACATGATAGAGCCAAATCTTTAAAAGCACGTCACAAACAACAGACAAAGATGACATTTTGCTCTTGTAGAAGAGATCTAAAATCTACAATACATGCTAACAAATCAAATATCGTGCCATTAGCTTTTATACCACAGAAAAACATGTCACTTTTTTTCATTTATAAGGTCTACGTGATTCAGAAGATTGATAGAACTAATCATGAGTGGATGATTCTCCTCTAAATCTAATTAAATTTAATATTGTTACTTTATTTAATTAAATACACTAAGAAATTATGTTACGTAAATTAAATTAAATATCAAATCAAATATTTCGATAATTATGCATTTTTTTTCATCAAATTCATTGATTTTATTCCATTATCATAACTCTTTGCTCTAATGGCAACTGTTGTGAATGATCTTGTTTCATATTTAAGAATTTTGTTGTTTGTATTAATTGACCTTATTCATTCCGTTATATTGGAGGGTCTTATATTGCACATTGGAAAAAAAACAACAAAAAACAGCGAACGTGCTTTAATGTAATGAATACATTGTATCTTTTTTGTTGGCAAATACCCACGATAGGTGTTGGCTGATACATTTTACAGTATTTCACATTTGGTTTGAGATTTGACTCCAACAATCGTCATCAAAGTTGGTATATCATAAACAGATATTTTTCTCAATAAGTCCCGACGATTACCAGAACACGTACGTATGTCCCTCAGACCACAAGGTGTTGTCCGTATAGTTCAAGACATGGTTAATGACAGTAAGAAGCGGTAAATATCACCGGATATTAAAGAATTTCTGAGAATGGATGTAATCTGATTTATCCCTTGTACAAAAAATGGAAGTGCAACTCTCTCAGTTAAGCTACACCGATCTCGGTAGCTCAGTCGGTAGAACGCTCGCTCCGTGATCGAGAGGTCATGAGAATCTCGGCCACGACTGACCTCAGTCGAAAAAAAAATTGGTAGCAACTGTTCCTTCGCCATGCGAGCGGTACTTTGAAGTGAAAGTTGCGGGTCCTTCGGATGAGACCTTAAAAACCGGGGCCCCGTTTCATGGCAGGTGTTGGCATGATAAAGATCCCTCACTGCTCAATGGCCCTGAGTGCCGAGTAAAGGTCAAAAATTTGAAGCCCTTCACCGGTTTATGGTGACGTCTCTATATGAGTGAAAAATTCTCGAATGGAATGTAAAACAACATACAATCAATCAATCAAACAGGTAAACTACATGAGGTGTCACCTTCATCATTGTTACAGATTGTCGAGCGGATTTATCTTTTAACTAATTAAAATACAACTCAAATGCTTTTGTTTACAATTTACATGTTTAATTACTGATGATACTATATACAAATGTCATTATTGTTGTTTGTCGTAATTTCCCGTCTCGCCGCTGGCTTTTCCACCTCACAGGCTGGAGGATGGACTCTAGGTTCCAAAGCTGGCTGGCCTATCTACTACACACCATGGGCGGACTTTAGGCACTCGGTGGCCTCACTGTTGTACAAAACTCTGACATATGGATGGAACCTGCTCCAACATATACATACAAGTTTTACTTACAAGCTGTAGTGGCTTTACACAAATACACATTACACTCATTATCAGATTTATCGATAATGGACACGTCTTAGATAAGACTCAATTACACACACATGAGTTGTTTAAATTATACATACAACTCTTACACAAATGCAATATTGCGAATTGCTACTTTACGGACAACAATTTTGACAGAAATTGTACACCGTACATGTACTTTGAAATATTTAAATACGTGTAACTATAGATAGAAATCAAATTAAAGGAAACACACATGCTAAAAATGATGAGAATTGCGGTGACTGGATGTTTTAGGACAAATGAATAATATATGGGAAATAACTAAAATAGAATTATAAATATAAGCCTTACCTCAGAAAAGCTGGACCATTACACTGCTAAAAATAATATCAGACCAGAGCAAGCACTGCCATGAATCACAAGGGTACATACATGTAAAAAACAAAGATATAAGAGGAGATAGAGGCGTCCTCCTCTCTGGACTGCCGCGTCCAAACTAACTGGCACGGACTGGCGGGTTTTAAGGTCCAGTGAACTGAGGTTCAGTGAAGGATATGTACAGTAATAACACGTTTAAAACGAAGGGGTTCCCCAGGGGATATCTACATGAAAATTTAAAATACATTACCAAATGTATGATAGGATTTTTTTAATGTGACAATCATCATCATCATCAGTATTATCTTCATCAATCAAATCGAAAGAAAGATAAATTGAATAAAAGAAAGAAGATGCACTTCAGTGATTCAAAGATTGTTCAATTTGACAAATGTATTTAAGATTTATTTTTGTTTATGACGTCTTAATATAAGTCTTATATAAGTGTATTTTTCATGTACTGACTTTCGTTAACAATTGATTATTTAATTCTCTTTTTTGCTCTTTGTTTAAAGATTTTGCACATTTACATGTACATGTATTTTATATAAAATTGAAATCCATGTAATTTTGAGTGTTAATTAATTCAATTTCATATTATTATAAAGGAGAAAATGGGGATTTTTTTGTTCAACGTTCCTACGAGCATTTTTCACCGATCTGAGGTGCCACCTCTTGCCGTTGGAGGGCTGTTAATTTAGACCTGTACTCGACACTTGTGGTCTTTGAGCAGTGTGAGGATTTTTCTTTGTGCCAGCACCTACTGCGCCACGAGACCTCGGTTTATACGGTGTCCTCCGAAGGACCGTTCTCCACGTCAGACAGTCACTTTAGTTTCGAATCCGCGACGTAAGGATAACTCCTCAACTCTAGAGCAAACGCTCTAACCACTGCGGGGGATAATGTTAGAATTTATTCAATTATCAGATGATAGCACGATAGTACTATTCGATGCATGAAAAATGCAACAAATGTTCTAATGGCCAGTCAAATAAAAACCAGTATCTTCTAAAGGCCAGTCAAATAAAAACCAATATGTTCTAATGGCCAGTCAAATAAAAACCAATATGTTCTAATGGCCAGTCAAATAAAAAAATCCTCAACTTCACATTTCATTTATACACAAATCATAAATACCTAATCTTGGCAAGTAATACATAATCTTGGCAAGTAAAAACAAAAATATTACACTGAAACGGCGATTGTTGTCTCTGAGTTTAATTTGAACGTTTTTACTTATTGCTCTGTTGTCTTTCATAAAGTGTTTTTAAGGTTATCAAAAAGGAACGCCTTGTAAACCAATAAATGTGGCTTGTTTAAATAAAGATCAGAGAAAAGCTGTTTTATGCATATTAGCTATAATGTTTTGCATGTTATCCAGCAACGCTGCCATGTGCTTTATGTAATGTTAAGCCGGGATAAGATGTTAGAGGGCAAATTCAGTACAGTCTAACTTTTGGTGTTACTTTTGCAAAAACAAAGAAAGGTAGAACTAAAATGAATGGTTTTATGCAAAGTAGGAATCTGGGACTGAATTGTGAAGGAATTTCACTGTTACATTAATAAAATCTACCCGTTATTCTAGAGATATCTTTTGGTCTGCGGATTGTCATACGCAAAACACAAACTTAACACTCGCATTTAATTTAAAATTCCGTATTTTGTAAGTCAGGTAACACCCGATTTCTCTTTCAGAATAATGCACCACGATTAGTTTCCCAGTCAACATACCAAGAATCCAGTCTTCTGAAACAATTTGAAAAAAAAGAAAACATTCATCGACACATTTTATCGACAATTTTTTTGCTTTTGATCCTTTGGCACTTGTCTTGCATCCATTTTCTTTTGATTTTATTGAAAAAAGGACAGTAACGTTTATTGATATTTTATATCGGTTCAAAGACAGGAGTGCTGAGATCGATTCTGTAGAATGGGTAACAAGACATTATAATGCTTCTAAGTGAACACTGAAAGGTTTCTTTGTCGTTATGAATGATCAAAGACTACATTTTATATTTTATTCAGGCGTGAACTCTCTATAAAAGTTAATATGTATGTGAATAGAAAAAAAAATTGTAACCCAATTTCAATTCAAATTCATCACACAGATCCATTTACCTTTCATAAACTAAAACAACAAATGCAGTATTTTATTTATGAAAGAAAAATCAGTCCACAGTGCAATGAGATAATCAATTAGATTGACTTTAATTGATTTTGAAAATAGACAGCCATTTACGGAAAATTGAGACCTTTAGTTTAAATTTAACTGGTGATATGTGTGATGCTAGAATATATGAATGAATTCTTTATTCTGTGTCATTTGCCACATATAGCAACACAAAGTGTAATATCTAAATTTATCCAACTCATGTGGTTTTATCCCATCGTCAAGGCTTGGGGAAAAACACACAACTTGTTGGATAAAAATCATATCCAACCACAAACCATTGGAGATTCTATATAAATATTAAGATCCAATACAAAGCACAAGTGAGCGTATTTAAGACCCAAAACTCATCATTGCAAACACAGTGAACTGTTATTTTGCTTTGAATTAAGCATAACATACACCAATACCTCTCTCACCCCGTTTACCTAAAACACATTCTTATGGTGAAAATGATCCTGCTTCTGTGTCATTGTTAGGATCAAAGACTATTTTCTTTGATATGAATTCAATTTGAGTGGTCAATCTCTGATGAGTGTTGATATTTAATAGTTACAGTAAAACACGCTCATATATGTAGCAAACATACTTATAATGAATTTACACTTACAAAGAAGTGATATTTTCGTTTCCTGTGGATTTAAATGTATTGTTTTAATATGATAATATAACGAGAGGGATAGTTTTATAATAATAAAGTAAAAGCACAAACAAAAATTTTTCCTGACAATTCGCTATAAGCATGATTTGCTGTATTCAACAGTACTACTTAGAGTTATTATCAAATTAAATTATTTCTATCAGCGTGTCGAAAGTGGTATTTGTAAATCAGTATTTTATATGATGGTCTGGTGATCTATTATATTATATATATGCATATACATATGCATGAAATGTATGGAGATAACAAACAGTATTCAAGCTCAAATGTCCATTAAACAATACAAAATAGGAGTAGAGCAAACACGGACCTCTAAATATCAGAGGTGGGATCAGGTGCGATGGAGGCGTGAGCATACCCTGCTGACTGGTCTCACCCGCCGTGTGCTCCTTGTCATGATCGGGAAATAACAGAAAAATCCGTTGACAATTAAGTGTGTAAATAATGGTCCAGCATTTGACTCAATAATGCTGATAAATTGTATTTGTTGACAAGGTCATTGTATCGACCATAGAACTTACGCATTGATGACTTTAAACGAGACCCCTGATATTCTTGTTTCATCAATTTGTTTGTCAATAATTTACCTCGTTTTAGAAATTGTACATACGTAGAGCATGCTCTTGCGTATCGAATCAACTGAGAGATATAGACCCCGTATGCAGGCGATGAAGGTATATTGCTGCATAAGTAAGGGAGTTGACGATTGAAAAGTTAAAGCCATCACGTTTATCCTAAAGCTTGGCTGTTAGATTAACATTAACGTCTTTTTCAAGTAAAATATCCAAATATGAAACAGATGTGTCAGACTCTGTGGTATCTTTTATCTCAAGCTCATCGGGATATATCGTATCGACATAAGGATGGAAATAACCATTGTTAATTGACAATACGTCGTCGATATATCTAAATGTCGAGTTGAAGGCCACAACAAGTGTTTTCTTCTTTTCACGTATAAGATTTTGGACAAATTCTGCTTCATATGAATACAAAAAAGGTCTGCTAATAACTGGGCGCAATTGGTACCCATTGGAATTCTAATAGATTGTTGGAAGACCTGGTCTCCAAAAACCACATATAAAGATATTGTTAATCAGAAACTCAAGCATTTTTTTAATGTCAACTTCAGAGTACTTGTGTGTACAATCAGAATGTTTTTTAACAATGTAACAATGTGCTTCTGGGGGATTTGTAGATCTGTACTTTTTGAGCCTAAAATACAGATGGTTTTCATCATAGCAAATGCTTATTTGCTTTGTATACATGTTCTCCTCGCCAACAAAATTAAAACGACCCTTAACATATTCTCTCTCTCTCTCTCTCACCCGCACACATACTTTCTGGGCACTTACGTTATTGCATTAACACACATACACTGTACAATACAAGTCAATTCAATCAATTACTTATTTTTAGATTAGATTGGTAAGAAATAAAATGTATATATTAAAAAAACTATGTTGTAAGACATTTACCAAGTCTATTCAAAATTTAATTTTTTTTTTCATGTATATGGTATATGAAGATTTTTTTCAAGTTACGATTGTTTAATGTATATCTAATTTCATTTTTTTCAAAAATATCGACAAGTGTGTAAAATCTTTCCTCCGAAACGGCATTTATCGAATTTCAAGACCTGCTGATTTGATTACATCTTAAAAGTTTTCATGCTGCTTTATGCTTGTGATGCTCTAAGATCATGCTGACTGCTGATTATTTTTATGGCATTTACAATTGACGTTCTCGCTAATAATTCTAAACAATTATTTTGTTTTCTTCGTTCTGATTGTCTTAAGGGAAACACGCTTTGTTTTATATGAGCAACTCAAATGATAATTACAGGGTCATAAAACATCATCTGCTAATATAGTTTTCAGACAGCATTACATTCTTTCCGTCAGGAATTCTTAATAGTTCGTGGTGACATGAATATGCACACATATATAAAAGTTTGGTTTTTTGACTCATTTCCATCTTTATTGTTTTATAGGTGCCCTTTGCAGTAAGTGCTCCCCTCCAGAGAATGTGTTTAAGGTGATTTTCTGGCTTGGTTACTGCAACTCCATGATGAACCCTGTGATCTATGGTTTTTCAAGTAAAGAATTCAAGCGTGCCTTTAGAAATATTCTCAGCTGTAAATGCAGAAACTCCGATAGATTTAAGCTAATACAGAGATACTCTTTTTATGACCAGAAAGAACGATCAAATACCAATTTATCTTGTCAAAATGGGAAATCGAGATCAATTAGAAGCATCAAAGGTGATGAGCGTCTTAGAGGAGAAACATTGAGGTCTAAAAACTGCAATGCTCAGACGGATTACTCACCAGTTGGCAAATGTTACCTTGCTGCAAATCCCCCAAGTTTTGATAGTGATTCTGTGTCCCTGAGTGACCACGTTTTGGAGGAATTACGTCAGGAACAGAGGCGATCCCCTATTGACAAATGAAGAAAGATATGTTTAAAAGAGGCAAAACATTTTCTATAGTAGTATATCAAGTGTCAGCGATTAATAAAAAAGTATGGCAACGTTAAAATTTTGAAAACGATTCAAAGAAAGTAATCTTATAAAATTTTAGTATCGAAAAAAATTCCCACCAACGTGTGGCCTGAAGGAAAATGTATACCTTTCCGTTCTTAACAAACGACCACACACACAGAGTTTATTAACAGGAATTCTTAAACTCCAAGTATTAACTATTAAATATCAGCATGTTGGCTCTATGGACCTAGCTAGGCTTTTTATGAACAATTTTTGTTTAAATAATCTTAAAACGAGAAATTAAAGAAAGCATATCAATATTTGTCATTTATGTTCTTGACCGAAAAATTTTGGCAAGCTGAACATTGTGTTTTGGAATGAAATGAGTACTTGATGCAAAAATAAATGAAATGAGAAACCAGTATTTTTTTTTCTTTATTCATCACTGATCTAACTTCTTGTCGCACTTCAAGCTACATTGTATTTATCCCAATCCCAAATCTAATCATATTAAATTGAGAATCAATTTTTAGGGATAAATTAATATTCAAGGACCAATATATCGCAACACCTGTTAGACTGGCCTTAATTTATCCAGGACGTATCATATATATGCATCTTTATACATACACTCACAGTCAAATTAACTCTAAAGTACCAAAAATTTTACACAAAGGTATACATGTTTTACAAAAGTTAAAGATTAAAAAAAAAAAAGAAAAGAAAATCTTATAAAAAAGAAATCTTATAAATTCAGTAAACTATGGAATATTGAACAGGGTCAAACAGGGACCCCTGGAAACACCAGGGGTGGGATCAGGTGCCTAGGAGGAGTAAACACCCTCTGTCGGCCAGTCACACACGCCGTATGTGTTGATCAGGTATACTGAGTACATCTTAGTCAAATTTAGTATAAAAGCAATGGCCAAACAAATGGTAACAAAAGTGTCAGACAAAATATGACCCAATCATGGGTCGTTTTACAAACAAGGTCATTATTATTAACGAAATAATTAAATGCTGAACTTCAAAAGGAATTGTTGAAATCCTTGTAACATCAATTAATTTGTTTATAGTTTGCCTCGGTCAAACTGCCAATAAACATCGATCATTATTTCATAGATTATGAAAAAAATGTCTTTTTGTATTTCGTTGAAGAAATTTTTGTAAGAAGTTATTTGAATAAGAAAATGGTTCGCAGAAGAGTGTACATGTACACTAGGAGTCTGGTATTTACAGTAGAAAATCACGGCGTCTTTGTTTTTTTTTTTTTTATTCTTTATGAAATACAAGATTAATTTGTGCATAGATAATGATAACCGCTGGCATTTTGTGAGATAAGGCATCTTAATTTTATGACAATGCCCCCACTGAGATAACAAACCGAGATATGTTTTTCTTATTACGAATACTTTAATTTCTATGCTATAGATAGTAAGCAAATTAAGAACTCTAAAGCAAGGGAAAAAATTCTTCAGAGGATTAATTTTCATCTAAATGTAATGCAACATTTCCTTTGATACCCGAAACAAATCACATTCTGGATTTATTAATAGAATATTGCAGAATAGGTCAGAATAGATCAATGAAGGCTGAGTAGAAATAACTTCAAACATTTTGTTAAACATTCGGTGATTAACCGATGTTAAAATAAATCAGCTTTCAAATCTGTGCCTTTTTTGAGAAAGTCCGGATATATTGATAAATCAAAGAAATATATGTCTTGGAAGTATAAGAGCTGATGTAAGTGATAAAGCTGACATAAAGTTTCTCTGATAAAAAAAAATCCAAAACACACATGTGAAAAGATAATTACCACAAGAACATGTTACACAGATCCCAGGCTAGATGAAAAGGATGACAGACATATACTGTAGGGAAGCAACTTTTGATTTTTTTTCGGAAATGATATAATACTCGGCGCGTTGCACTATTACTTTAACATTTTCTAGAGTTTTTAAAAGCTGAAGAAACAACTTAGAGGAGGAAATATTCACAAAGAAACAATGATTTGTTTCTATCCCAGAAATATCATCTTTAATTAGCATATTCGCCAACATCCTAAGTAAAGAAATAAATATGCATTTTTTCTACATTGATGGTAAGATACTCTAAAAGAATATATTAATTATTTTTCCTGAAATATATCTATATCTATATATATATCTATATCTATCTATCTATCTATCTATCTATCTATCTATCTATCTATCTATCTATCTATCTATCTATCTATCTATCTATCTATATATATATATATATATATATATATATATATATATATATATATATATATATATATATATATATCAAACACTGACTGGTAACAACACATACTTTTATTTGGTTTCATAAGATTCATGTTTGATGAAGTATGCGAGAAAGAACTAAAAAGAATACCTCTAAACCATGAGTTTAATTAATATATTTACATTTGCCAATATGTCTCTTTGAATGACATTACTAAGGAAATTGACATTTAATTTTTGATGACATGAAGTTAGTTACGTAATCAGACTTTCTTGTGAATATAAAGCATACCGCAAGAGATATTTGAAAGGTCTAAACTGTGAAATCAAATGACGTATATGTATGTTTGTTGCAGTCTAAAAAGTCAAATATTTTTTTTTGTAACAAACTAATAAAGAAATATTAATACAAGAAATAAAATATAACGGAGAAATCCGTAGACAGTTCAATGTATAAATAATGGCCTAACAATTATTATGAAAAACCTCAGTAAGCATTTGACTCTATGATAGGTTGTATGTGCTGACAAGGTCATTGTATCGAATGTTAAACTTGCGAAAAGATGACTTCAAATGAGACTGTTGATGTCCTTGTATCATTAACTTGGTTGTCAATAGCTTGCCTCGTTTTAGACATTGTTCATACGTAGAGCATGCTCTTGCATATCGAATCAACTGAGAGACATAAACCCCATATGCAGGTGATAAGGGTATATTGCTACATAAGTAAGGGAAAGTTGACGATTGAAAAGTTGAAGTCATCACGTTTATCATAAAGCTTTGTTGTTATGTAACCATTAACGTCTTTTTCAAGTAAAATATCTAAATATGAAACAGATGTGTCAGAATCTGTGATACCGTTTATCTCAAGCTCACTGGGATACATCGAGTCGACATATGAATGAAAGTAACTATTGGTAATTCATATTTTTCTTTTGTGTGTTTATTTCTTTGAAAAATCTCTTTTTACGGTATTACATGTATAAAAGATATAATAAATACACCGTGTATCAAATATTGAAACCGAAAGTTTACAATTTTTGCAGTTGGACTGTAATATGCATGTCATACGGGCCTCATTCATACAAAGATTGCTAAGAAAGATAATCATGCCAGCTTTTATGCCGTTTTGGATTTTATGATGTCAAATTTATTTTACTTCTTTTCTCCAGATGAAACGAGAATTGGACACTAAGTAGTTCTAAGGATATTAAACACATAACTCACACAAGAATTTCTTGTTTAAAGCAAGCGACGCACTCTCTTAAGGTGTATAATTTTCGTATTTCAACGTTCATTTCATTCCTCCTTAGCAAGAAAATGATAAGGCGCTCTATCATTTTCTTAATAACTGAAATCGATTTTAGGAAAGTGATACCTTTTTCCTGATATATATTTCTTAGAAACATTAAATAAGCACTGATGCCCTTCTTATATCTTTTATCTTTCGGTTATAAATAAGACACAGTTTTCCGCCTAATGGACTAACTAAATAGTGTTAAACCCTTTGAAAGCGTAGAATTTCTAAGTCTAATGAAAGCATTACTAGTAAAAATAATCAGTGGCCATTTCAAAAGTCTTCCGCAGCAAATGAATAATGAGAGTTATTGCCCTTTGAACTAGAGAATTTTTTAACAGTGGTTCGGAGAAATATCAGTCAGTGCAACTCTATTTGTATACATTATGACTTTTTTAAACCATAGCTTATTATGAGAAACCTATAAATTTAATATAATATAACAGAGTGTGTCTTTTTAACTTGTAATGATCAGTTAATGAATCTTTAAATAAGTGAGAAAAAGTAAAAAATAAAACAATAGCAAAGATAGCTAAACCATAGTAAATGGATAAGAATAGAAAATTTATGTTGTCAGACGGAGAGACAGAAGGTCACAATTTCAAACTGTTTCGGAAAGCATTAAAAAAATGAACATGAATGATACATAAAAGGATTGCTAGCAGGAAACTGTTGTAAAACTAAAAATTATTTTTGCAGATTAAATGCTGAAATATGAAGTAAATGACCAGTAATCATGCTCAAAAGTCCAATGAAATATTACATATTGTGAGCAGAGCAAAAACAGACTTGTAAAAAACTATTTTTTGGATCAGGTGCCATGGAGTAGTAAACGTACAATGTTGACTGGTCACACGAGCCCTACGCTCATGTCATGATTGTGCAAACTGAGAAATTCATAGTCAATTCAGTATGAAAATAATCGTCTAACAGTTTGTATGAAAGACGTCAGTCACTATTCGACTCATGGAGAGATTGTGTTTGCAAACAAGGTCATATTATTGATCATATTATTTTCATAAGGTTTACTTCAAAAAAAGATTGTTGAACCCTCGTATAATCAACGCATTTTCAGTAGCGTGCCTCGTTTAAAAATGTTCTTACGAAGAACATGCTCTTGTGTTTCGAATCATCTGTGAAACATGTACACCATAAACGGAAGATAATGATAAAAAAGTTGAAGTCATCACGTTTATCACTAAGTTAAGTTGTTAGTTTTTCATCATTTTTCTAGAAAAATATCCAAATATGTAGCAGTTGTATCAGACTTTATGGTGTCTTTTATTTCGAGTTCAATGAGTGAAGGACTGCAAATTTAGACCTATATGTATACTCGGTACTCAGGGCCATTGAGCAGTGAGGGATCTTTTTCGTGCCAGTACTTACTGCAACACAGGACCTTGGACTCTCATCCGAAGGACCAGCCTCCATGTCCCGCC